GCGGAATTTTGCCCCCCCCCCCCCCCGAATACGCGGGGCAGCCTGAGCACCCACGCTCAGGAGTGGAATAGCATGGTCGTGGATGCTCAGCGAGGGATTCTCCAGGGGTACTGGTACCCTCCTGGGGTAGTTTATGACGTAATTCCGCTACCATGTTCATGGGGGGGGGGGGGGGAATTGGGCATCCGGTCACCTGCACTCACCAGACGAAACGCGGAAGCAGAGCTTCCACTTCACGCCGGTATTCTGTGAGGTCGTGGTACTAACCCGGCTCGAGCCGGCCCATACGTGCAACAGCAAAAGCTGCTGCAAGGCTCTACCACCTTTAAAATCATTACAAAAAACCGTGTTTTTTGTAATGATTTGTAATATGCTAAATAAATTTAAAAAAAAATCTGTTGCATTCCCCTAAATCCGTCTCTTACTAAATCCACAGAATGATATAGTGTATATATTATATTGATGATTAATACGGCGTGGATTCTCTTAGGCCGCCTATGAACGGCAATAGAAACATAAGTTCCTCTTATATATCATATGTTATCTCCCTGATGCCTTCCCTCGTATTTTCGGTAACCCATAAAACCTCGGTGGTTTTGCACATGATGGTATTGTCGACTTCGCGTCGAGATTTAATTTTTCGGAGTATTTCTTTATTAAGTCAGTAGTTGTTCTAAGTATATTAGTTGGAGGGCCTATTTTGTAGCCTATTACGTTCCATAAAAATGTTTGTATTTTGAATTTATACTCTGACGTGTCCATTATTACTGTAGCATTACCTTTATCCGCGCGGAGAACCGTGAGCTCTGGTATGTTGCGTAGGTTGTACAACGCTTTAAACTCGTCTCAAATTAATAAAATTCTTCATTTAAAACACAGCTTCTTTCTTAATTTAAAAATTTAAAGTAGTTTTAGAATTTCTTCGCTCAGAAAATGAAATTTAAGAACAAAGAAATTAAAAAAAGTTGCTCTGAAACGCTGTAAAGATATAACTGAAAGAAATAATCGGATATTACGAAAGTTTGAGCTTAAGATGGAAATGACTTTTATAAGATGTCGTTACGTGGGCAGATAAGTTGATTGATATAATTTTACTCTAAAACGTGATTTATTAGTTTCACTTTTTCCCGTCATCTTTGTCATCATGTCGTTACGTTATTTTAAAACTAAACTTAACATTCATTATATGAAAAAGGGGGAGTTAGTTAATGTTTTACCATGAAACACAGAGAATCTCTTATTTTTGAGAGAATAAGATGTACGAAATTTTTGTTTTTATCTAAAAAAATCGTTAGCTCCACACTAAGATTTTCTCCAGTATCGTGGGGTATGTTTCATCATCATCATCATTACAGCATTCCACAAGTCCACTGCTGAACATAGACCTCCCCCAAGGAATGCCACAAAGCACGGTCCTGAGCCACCTGCATCCATCGACTTCCTGCATCACTTACCATGTCATCAGTCCATCTAGTGGGGGGTCGCCCTACACTTCGCCTACCGGTACGAGGCTGCCACTCGAGAACCTTTCTTCCCCATTGGTCATTTGGGAGCTATATGGCCGGCACACTGCCATTTCAGCTTACTAATCCGTTGCGCTATGTCGGTTACTCTGGTTCTACTGCGGATATCCTCATTTCTAAATTTATCACGCAAAGAAACCCCGAGCATAGCCCTCTCCATAGCTCGCTGAGCGCCCTTGAGCTTCCTTATACGGCCAGCAGTGAAGGACCAAGTCTAAGATCCGTAAGTCATCACTGGCAACACGCACTGGTTGTACAATTTCGTTTTCAGGTTTTGAGGTATGTCTAACGAGAAGATGTGTCGTAGTTTCCCGAACGCTGCCCAGCCGAATTGAATCCGTCGATTGACCTCTCGGTTGAAGTTGGACTTACCTAGTCGGACTATTTGTCCCAGGTAAACATACTCCTCAACAACTTAGAGCTTAGTGCTCCCAACAACTACTGGCATAGGTGTGACATGGATATTAAACATGATTTTTGTTTTGTCCATGTTCATCTTAAGACCTATCCGTTGAAAGACACTATTGAAGTCATTGAGCATAGTGCTTAGGTCCTCCAGCGATTCTGCCATAAGGACTATATCGTCGGCAAATCGAAAGTGAGTGACGTACTCGCCATTGATGTTAATACCGTATCCTTTCCAGTCCAGTAGCTCGAAAACGTCTTCCAATGCAGCGGTGAAGAGTTTTGGGGATATAACGTCACCCTGTCTTACACCTCTCTGCAGTTGGATAGGTTTCGTACTCTGATTCTGGACTCGGATAGCCATCGTAGCTCTACTGTACAAACACTTCAGCACTTTGATGTACCGACAGTCAATTTGGCACCGCTGAAGGGACTGCAGCACCGCTCAAATTTCGACGGAGTCAAAGGCTTTCTCATAGTCCACATACGCAAGGCAAAGTGGCAGATTATACTCCTCTGTCTTCTGTACAATCTGTTCTGTATGTATGTGGTCTATGGTACTAAAGGATTTTCGGAAAACAGCTTGTACGGGAGGCTGGAAGTCATCAAGTCTGCGTGCGAGACGATTCGTAATGACTCTCGAAAACAGCACGTAGACACGGCTCAGAAGGGAAATCGGTCTGTAGTTCTTCAAGAGAGCGTTGTCACCTTTCTTGATGAACAAGACCACCGCACTTCTGCTCCACGCCTCCGGAGTAGTGCCACCATGGAGGACGGAATTAAAGAGCTTTTGAAAGACTTCAAGTACCGGTTTTCCACTCGCTTTCAAAAGCTCCGCTGTAATTCCATCCTCGCCCGGGGACTTGCCGTTTTTAAGGTGCTGGAGAGTCATTCTAATCTCGCTCAGACTGACGTCCGGGGTATCTTTAGAATTGCGTCGGATAAGACTCGCTCTTGGATCGTTACCCATACTTGCGTGTGGCCCCAACCATGACGTGTACAGCTGCCCATAAAACCTCTCAATCTCACTCAAAATCTCAGGTGTCCCAGAAACGATGCTGCCACACTCGGTCTTCAGCTTCGACAGTTAGCTCTTTCTGGCAGACAGATCTCTGGCAAAGACTTTGGAGCCCTGGTTCCGCTCGATCGCTTCTTCAATACAAGCTGTATTGAAGTTGCGTAAGTCCCGCCGCATGCATTTGGAGATCTGTCTGTTCAGTTGCCTATATGCTGTCAAATCTGTTGAAGAATGTAGCTTCATCTCCCGTCTAACAACCATGAGATTAAGAGTGTGATCGGAGAGATTTTGTGCTCTTCTGCGGCGGGTTCCGCATGGACAGTTTCCACGAGCTTGTCATTCGTATCATCCACTTCATTGCAGTCTTCTAGGCACTGAAAACGGTTTTGTAACTCGAGCTGAATGGTTTCGGCACTTTGGAATATAGCACGAGGGGGACGGATCGTCGACTTCATCAGACGAGAACTCTCTAACTTAACGTTTAGGTTCAGTGTGCCTCTAACCATTCGGTGATCGCTACCAGTTTTTACCCTCGCGATTACAGAGACATCACTGAATAGTTGTCGTCTGGTCGTTATAATGAAATCAATCTCATTTTTTGTCTAACCGTCGGGGCTCGAACAGGTCCATTTCCTGTGGGGCCGCTTCTGGAAGAAAGAGTATATCATAAAGAGTCCCTCTTTCTCCATGAAGTCGGCCAGCTGCTGGCCCCTTGGTTTCCGTTGCAGTATTCCAAATTTCCCTACTTTCAGCTCACCGTTCTCTCTTGTGCCTAGTTTAGCAATTAAGTCGCCCATTAACATCGTATAGTGAGTTTTGGAGGAATGCATGGCTCTAGAGATATCCTCATACATTTCCTCCACCTCCTCATCGGGATGTACCGAGGTTGGTGCGTAAACCTGTACGACCTTCAGCGAATACCGTTTGATGATTCTGAGTATAAGGTACGCAACCCTCGTCGACACACTCTCAATATTTATAACGTTGTTAACGAGAGACTTGTGGACGATAAATCCGACACCTCCTTGGGACAGATGGTCGCTCTCCCGGTGATAGAACAAGTTGCCGGATTCGAGGATTACCGTGTCCTCCCCCTCTCTTCGGACCTCGGATAATCCTATGATATTCCAGCGCAACTTGTCTATCTCTTCTTCCAGCTCCAGGATTTTCTCGTCAATCCTCAGGGTGCATGCGTTATAAGTTGCCAGGTCGAGTCGTCGTAGGTGGCAACCGAACCTCCACCGGAGATTCTTAGCACCCTCTGCCCCGCCGTTACCATGGTCGCCACCGTAGCCAGGAATAGCGGGGCCGCCGGGGACTGGGGGCCATCTCTTTGTTGCTCTCATTTTTGGGGGGTATTTGCCATAGTTGCCACACTTGGCGAAAGGGTTGGCAACCGCAGTTTTTTTATTGTAGTTTTGCTGTTATCAGGAAGATGCTGTTGCCCATCTCCTGCCTGTTTCCCTTTGTTGCCTTTTATGGCATCCACGGGAAGATATGGGGTAGTGGATATTCTTACATTACATACATACATGAATTTCCAAAGATAAACATCCAGACTCGAAAAAATTATTGTAGGCCATACAAATATTTGTACCGTGCGAGATTTGAACCCGCCACCCTTGGCACTGCAACTCGTTGCTAAGCAAATGCGCCACGGAGCCGTTAAATTCTTAATTATCAGAGATTTATGGTTGTCAATGGTACGAGAATGATCACAATACATCTAGTCCGTTACCGTTCATTTACAAGCTATTAAAATCCACTGCTGAACATAGACCTCCCCCTAGATTTCCTCACAGAGGGGGATATTTGCGACAGTTGTCACGCTTGGCAAGCGGGTTGACAACTGTCGCTTGTTTGTTTTTTTTTATTTTTAGTCGTTATTTGGAAAACGCTGCTGCTCATCTCCTGATTTGTTACTCTCTGTCACCTCTTACGACACCCACGGGACGATATGGGACGACAAGTTCTCCGTTCCACGTCGCAGCCATAGTCGAAGGTTAGTCATAAATTCCGATGATGATACTTCACTGACATCATTCATGGATCAGATGGGTTCTGAACATGAGGTACCACCACAGCAGCAATCAATCATTCAACCATATCAGAATATCCTGTACGGTAAGAATCAACACAAATGGTCTACAAAACCTCAAGACCCACGTACTCGCACGGCTGCTCGTAATGTACTGCATATTGTACCTGGTCCTGCAGGTATGGCTAAAGACCTCTCACAGCCAAAGGATCTATTTTATCTCTTTGTAGAGGAAGAAATGATTGTCGTTATTGTAAAATATATGAACGCCGAGATTGACATAAAAAACAATAAGTATAAAACATCTAAGTACACTACTACACAAACGTCGGCCAATGAAATGAAGGCAATGCTGGGTCTGCTAATTCAATCTGCTGGTCTCAATAGTAACCATTTGCCAACGCGAACTTTGTTTGATACCTTGAGAAGTGTAAAAACTTACAAAGCCTGCATGAGCGCAGAAAGGTTCGACTTTTTACTGAGCTGTATGAGATTTGATGACAGAAATACTAGACAAGAGAGATGGGTATCTGATAGACTGGCACCAATTAGATATTTCTGGGAACAGTTTATAGATAACTGCAGGAAATGGTATAAGCCAAGTTCTTACATAACCGTGGACGAACAACTGGTTGGATTTAGAAGACGCTGTCCATTTCGCATGTACATCACTAATAAGCCCAACAAATATGGCTTGAAGCTTATTATGGTGGCTGATTCTAGTACAAATTACATGTGCAATGCTATGCCTTATATGGGAAAAAACACAAACACAGGTAACGAGCCATTAGCAAATTATTTTGTGAAGGAGCTGTCTAAACCGTACTATGGGTTGAACCGGAATATAACCATGGATAATTGGTTTACATCGGTTCCTCTGGCCGCTGAACTGTTGAAACCACCATATAAGCTCACAGTGGTAGGTACATTATGAAGCAATAAGTGGGAGATCCCCAAAGAAATGAAGAATTTTATAAATAGAGAGGTCGGTACCTCGATGTTCGGTTTCGATAAAGTAATTACTATAGTGTCTCATAAACCGAAATCAAATAAGCTCGTTTACCTTATTTCTACTAAACATGATCAACCTGCTATCAATATCGACTCAAAAAAGCCAGAAATTATTGAATTCTACAATTTCACAAAGGTTGATACTGTAGACCAGATGTGCTCGACCATGAGTACCAGCCGTAAGACCAATCGATGGCCGCTGTGCTTGTTCTACGTCATCCAAAATTTGTCTGTAGTGAATGCATATATCATCTACAGAAAAAAAACCTTTGAAAAGAAGACATTTTGCATTAGAAATGGCAGACGAACTGATGAAGCCTGAGCTGCAAGAGAGATAAGAGACTGTAAGTTTGCAACGAAATTTGAAGCACATCATCGCGGAGATCTTGAAAATAGATGCTCCTCTGAAAGGTCCTAGTCAAGACGTTTCTAGAACTCGCAAAACTTGCAGCTAATGCCCTGCAAAAAAAATGTTGTATGACTACTAATTTCTGCAAGGGCTGCAAAAAAGCGATTTGCAGGGAGGGAGCATATTGTTTCCATGTGCAATCATTGTTCAGTGTTGCTTATTTCTAAAACAGATTAAGTTATTTGATTAAGAGATAACTAAGACTGTTAATATGCCTTTGTGTCATAAATAAAGTATATTAAATAAATAATTATTGATGTTTCAATCCGTCGTAAAATTTACGAATGGTTAGTTATAACGTTACTTGAAATTGAGGTTAGTGAGCTAGGGTTAATTAAAAAAAAGGTTCCACTCCTGAGGACAGGAATTAATAGGTGATGAATTTTTATTAATAACTAGCTGGTACCCTGTGCGTTGCTGCCGCAGAAGAAATAATTGTGTAAATATCGCTATAATTTTGAAACAGTTATATAGTTTAATTAGGAATAATAATACATTCATTGAGATTGTATGATACTCCTATATAACTTTCAAATAAATTTATAGATACGATACGAGCGCCAGCCAATAAACCTGATATAAATAACTCATAAATAAATAATAAAAATAACCTTCACTTAAGTGCAAGCAATAAATTAACAAACTTTTACCGCAAACTGACAAACGGTATGGCAGCGCATAAAATACGAACAAACAAACATTATCTCTTTTATATATTAGATATATAGCTAATATCGAGGAGAGCACTCACTTCTGAAGCTACTATGATGTGAAAATTATAGTATTATGTCGGTTTTATACGAAAAATTGAATAACATACTTATGATTTTCGTAATCATAAATTGAAATAAGATTTTTGTTTGTTTTCCATTTTCTTTAGGGATTTCGAATATTTCTCGTGAACTTTTCCTTAAAATTATATTGTAGTCAACACACAAAGCTCAAACTGTCTGAGCTTGGTATTTTTTTTTATTTTAACATTTCGGCACGTTCTAATATTTACTTGAGCCTTACTAAGTTGTGATAGCTCAAGGGCTAAGAGCTCCCCATAAATTTTATAGTACGCGAACAAGTCAGGTTCGATCCCGCCGGCAGCAATGAAGTTGTTAATTGCATTTTTAATTGCTGATATACGTGTACGGTGGTGTAAAGTATCGTGAGGAATCCTGCATGTTTGAGAAATAAATAGTTGCGTGGATATAAAAGGCGCTAATGCGCATTTGGGCAGTGCGGTGGACATTTCCCTGCTATAAAACCCTTTCAAAATTGAAGAAAACCTGCGTGCGGGCTGTAACTTTAATAACGTAACTCACTTTAAGTAAACAAAAATACTAAGACTTTTATAATATTTATGATCAAGCAATTTTGAATAAAATTGTTTATTTATAATTAAAACATCGAGTAAACTTCACTTTTTCACTTTAACACTTCTTACCATAGACCTTTTCTAAATCGATGATTTCACTGATGAAGTACGTTATTAGACCTCCACCAAGAATCAAAGTGCAAATTTGTTGTCATCTTCCGTTGTACGAGTAATGATCTATCAGGATACCAGTATAAAGGATCTCGCGTTCTCTTCACTCACCTTCCAAAACAAAGCAGCATTACCCTGATATACAGGTAGTTCCCGGTAGGTACCAATGTGCGGTGTCAGAATGTCTACTACCCCATATCATCCCGTGAGTGTCGTCAAAGGCAAGAAAAGAAACTGAAACAGAAGATAAAAATCGGTATCTTCCTGATATCAACTCAAGATTTCTTTTATAGGATAGGGTGACAAACGAGCATACAGGTCACCTGATGGTAAGTGAATGCTGTGGCCCATAGACATATAAATCTATCCTCGTTTGCGAATCAAAATGCAAATGCGTTGTCACCCGTGAGGACTAAGATGGAATGCCTCTTTTCTAGTAAAAAGGGTCTCCGGTAATCTACACTCACCATACGAAACACAGCAGTCTTAAGCTGCTATTTTACGCTGGTATTCTGCGAGAGCGTGGTCCTTCCCTGGTCGAGTCGACCCATTCGTGCTACAACTATACTATTAATATAGCTACTGCATGGCTCTACCACGTGGATAATAACAACCGCGGTTTCTAACCCGCTTGACAACCGTGTGACAGTAGTTATGTGTGAAAGTGGTCCATCCCAGGTCGCACATACCCATTAATGATAATAATAATAACATGATGTATCGCGAGAAAAATTACCAAACACACTGAAACAAATAATATTTTAGCGGAAGAACAAAAAGGCTGTAGGCAGCATCATATGGGCTGTAAGGAGCAGTTAATTATTGATTCAACAATAATTAAACATGCTCAAACTAAAAAACAAAACCTTTACTGTACTTACATTGATTATAAAAAGGCATTTGACAGTGTTCCACATTCCGGGCTTATTCAAGTATTAAAATTGTACAAAATTAACCCACGAAATGGAGTGACAACCTGGTAAGACATGCAGGAAGTCGATGGATGCATGTGGCTCAGGACCGTGCTTTGTGGCATTCTTTGGGGGAGGTAGTGGATCATAAGTCCACGTTCAGCAGTGGACTTGTGAAGGGCTGTAATGATGATGATGATGAACCCAACTATGATTGATTTCTTAAGTTCAATAATGTCTCTGTGGAAAACTTCTTTACAATTGCAAAATAATCAAATTAAAATAGTTACTGATTAAATTTTCATAAAAAAGGGTATTTTTCAGGGGGATTCATTAAGTCTCATATGGTTCTGTCTCGCTCTCAACCCACTGTCTACCATACTTAGCCAATCTAATTACGGATATATCCTGAAAGATAGAGCTGGATACAGTACCCCTATTAGTCACCTTATCTACATGGATGATTTAAAATTATTTGCTAAGTCTGAAGAGGAAATGAAAATTTTAATAAATTTTACGCAAGAATTTAGTAGTGATATTAGAATGCAATTTGGCCTTGACAAATGCAGAACTGTGAGCATGAAACGTGGAAAATTATATGAACTAAACATAGATACTACAAGTAATGAGATTATAGAATGTTTCGAACCAGAACAATTTTATAAATATTTAGTTATAGAGCAAACCAACCAAATAGATCATAAAAGAATTAAGGACAACATTACAAAAGAATACGTGAAAAGGGTCAACCTCATTTGCAAAAAGCAACTGACTGCAAGAAACAAGTTATATCTAAGTATACTAATATTATAAAGAGTTCGAATTTTGTGAGTTTGTGTTTACGTGGAAAGCAATCTCCGAAACCATTACACCCATTTGAATTTTTTTTTACCAATTGAAAGGAACATTATTCCAAATGTACACACGCTGTATATTATGGCTACTGCTCGTTGGTCTAGTGGTTGTAGTAGTGCGACTGCTGATTATGAGGTCCCGGATTCGAATCAGGGCTCGGGCCAAAAAAAATCAGTTATTGAGTTTTTCCATCAAGCAATTCTCAGTAGCTGCCCGGAGTCAGGAAGTTGGCGATGTCTTACCCCCGTTCCTAGGAAAGTAAGTAAAGTAATTTGATCTGCGCCTGGTCTCTCTCCGGTCGTGTTGGTTTACCGTTCTATCGGACTATGAGAGTGGGGGAATAGAGAGTGAACCCGTGCTTGCGCATACACTTTGGCACTATAATCTTGTCCTGGGGCTATTGGCTAGTCTCCGTTGAGGCTGGCCTTCGTGACCAAAATTCGGTATGGAGGACATTATTATTATATTAGGGCTAAAAGTTATGATGATATTCGTCAACTGAGTCGTAAAAAGTCGTGTCCACGGCGTGCGCTGCTGTGTTAATAGTTAAAATAGCATGAAAATGATCTCTTGAAAAGTTCTAATAAAAAGTCCGCGACAGTATGTGTTTCTTTTCTAGTGATAACTTACAATAACCTTTTTTATATAAATACTCTCACGCGACTAAATAATTATGTTGTTGGGCGAATGTGGTAATAAAATATGGTATAACATAAAGGTTTAAATTTATTATTACCTAACGTAAATACGTTATATATTAGTTTACTGTTCAACCCTGGCAAATCCGAGGCAGGCCGCTAGTCAGTAATTTTTTTATAGGTTAAGGTGACAAACGAGCACACAGTCCACCTGATGATAAGTGGTTGCTGTGACCCATAGACATCCACATCTATCCTCAACAAAAAAAACAAAATGCTGATGCGTTGTCACCCATCAGGACTAAGATGGAATGCCTCTTTTCCAGTAAAAAGGGTCTCCGGTTCTCTATACTCACCATACGAAACACAGCAGTGTTAAGCTGTTATTTTACGCTGGTATTCTGTGAGAGCGTGGTCCTTCCCCGGCCGAGCCGACCCATTCGTGCTACAACTATACTACTAATATAGCTGCAACATGGCTCTACCACGTCTAAAAATAATATTAGCGAAGGTGACACAAGGTATCTCGCATACGGATAATTTGTTTCACATCGATTGACAAGATTACATTCTAATTAGGAAATAAATGAAGGTTGTACTCGCGAGCTCTATTTGGACTTAGTCGTGAGTATT